ATTACAGTGAAAATTAGCATTTCGTTTTTGGTCAACTTTGGCAATTTTTTCAGTTTGTTGTATTTGTCCGATCCGGATTATGTTTATATTTCAGAAGTTCTGCCTGGTAAAGCGTTTGATACGCCTAGAATAGACAATAACACACAAGCATCACATTTTAGTTTTTAGCAAAAGCACGGATACAATTTCACATGGGACAGGGATATATAGATGTGGAGAAGAACATGTGAATAATATGGAAATTACCTGCTGTGCTAATAGACGGGAATATGATGCTGTGATGTCGATGTTGCGCCCAAAAAATGTTTTCAATCTCGTTGATGTATGGATTGGATGTATGGAAATAAATCCTTTGGTAAGTCCCAGAAAAATATACGGTATTGCAAAATCTTTGATTTTGAGAAGGTAGCATAAATCTTTCACAAAACTTCGTACTGATTCTTCCCCCTCGTGTTCAAAAATTTTATGTCGCCCATTACTGGGATTAATTTTCGTAATGAGTTTTGATGTAGTTGTCACGATCCGATAGCTCACCATCAAATCCGCCTTGTTGAGGTTATCAATTTTATTATTATATCCACTCCTTTTATTTTAATTATTCACCCTTACAGCTATGTTTCACTGCTGTTTAGTTGATTTCAAGCCTATTCCCAATAATATTTGTTGGGATACGGTAATATGCAAATGACTTCGATTGGACAATAAAATTAATCTGCATTTTTCTAATATTCTTTTTCAGACAGGACAAATCTCTCCAACGGATGGATTCACGAAATGGGATATTGGAGAGCCAACAATTGACTGGGAATAAAAAATTATACACAAGTCGTACTTGTAGTTGGTTCAGATCCAATGAATGACGACCATGGAATGATGACCTTTTTACCAAGTTGGACAACGGACAAAGTATTATGCGAACTGTGAGGTAAAAAAAACGCCAGTGTCTGTTTCAAACGAAGTCATATTCAAATATTTAAATGGATAAGTGCAAAATTTGATTATATTTCAACAATAGCTGATACGTCATTGATAATAGCATAATATGCATAACTAATAGCATAATCATTTAAATTTACTAGCCAGGAGAAGGCAGAATTAGAAAATTCTTTTTTTCGCATTATTATTTCTCAACGCCCAAATAAAAGTATGGCCAATTTTATTTAACACTTCTATCCTACAAATGAACCTTAATTAAGCAAAATGCATGTTGCAATGCAAAAGAGAAATTTATATTACTAATTATGACTTCAACGTTTGCATTTTTGTTCTTGAAATATGTCATTGTTAATAAAGTTTTTTTTCAAACAAATATTAACAAATTCTAGCGAGGATTGTTCTATTTCAAAAACAAAGTTTTGATTATCAATGTGTTTCTTTTTTCGAATTCAAATTGTTCTATATTTTACTTTGTATCTATCATATATTCCCGATAAATACCAGTCTCGCACAAGCTCTTCTCAATATTTTGATATGCTACTCAAACTGTTAGAAAAAGAAAAAAAAGAACTTTCATTTTGCGGGATTTATGTCACCAATGTGTTAAGATAATATCATATCCTGTACTAACTTTGTTAAAAATATCAAAGTTGTACTGCAAACAGTGCATCGCAAGTCGCTTTGTGAGAGTGCAAATTGTTCGTCAACGTCATTTTGAAGATGTTAGACATGCACCCAAGAAGCAGGACGTAGATGAAAGTCACAGTATCTATGAAAATGGTAACTCTGGCAAATTGTCTAATAATATATCAATTGATAAAATACAATTTCATGTTATATATACTCCTCTTTATTGAAAACTTTTTTCTTTTTTCGGAAAGTTGCAATGCAGAAGTTCATGAGCTGGATAAGGTACAGGCGATATGGACATCAAAAAATATTTTGATAAACCACATACACGAATTAGATCGAGCGCCTTTAAATATTGAAACTGAAACATAAAAAAAAAAAGTAAATTATGATTTTTAAATAAGAATTCACAATATGAAGAAATTTATTTTATATTTGATTAAACATTTTTTTAAATTTTTATTTATAAAAATGCATTTGGATGCTACATACCGGTTCATTGGTCATAATTACTGACAAAAGTTTAAAAAACCTAATAATGCACGTATCACTTTTTAGAGAATTACATCGAGGTCGGTGGCAAATTATTATGGGCTAAGCGGAAAGATCGCTTTCTTACATATAATGATGGCAACATTTCATGCGCAAAATATCAAGCAACAATAGCAAAAATAGAAAATAAACAAGAATATGACGCTGTAGTAAGAATGATACGACCGAAGGCTGGACACATTAATGCCTGGATTGGATTACAAATAAATCCTTTAGTGAGTGTTATGTAAATTTTTCCGATTCAAACTGTGTTTATTTGATTTATTTCTTTTCGACAACTGAAGCGCCAATAAATTTTAAATGGTCAGTACACGAGGAAAAAAACAAACGGTGGACGCTATTACTCTGCGTCCTTTGATATACGATATATGGCGGAATAAATGAATTAAAGAATGAAAGAAACTTCACAATAATGTTTATTAGAAAGATATCAACGAGTTATGTATCAAAATATTTTTATACAGCTTATATTTATTGAATTGGACCTGTGAATTGCGTCGCCAAATTCTAGTTGTTTTTATTATTTTGTTACGTGTAGATTTCTACACAACTAATGAGCCGAACGATTTCAGATTGTTATTGTTATTATGTAACGATCAATTCCTGTACGCCAGGGGTCGGCAACCTACGGCCCGCGGGCCGGATCCGGATTATATTTTAACCTAACAAGTATATAAGTTACAATTACTCGTTTAATGAGCATATAGTTTAATTATAATTCGACCAATTGCAACTAAACGCAGAAAAGTTGATGCTAAGTGTAAAGGGTTCAATGGCAAGGGGCATGGCAAGGGTTCAATTCAAAAATATTCAAATGGAATTTTTTGAGAGGCAATGCAATGAGGAAATAAATCTATATTCTATTCGAGAGATATATGAGATTTTTATCATAGAAAGCATCATCCGTTTGGCTTTTAACTTTCTAAAAATATGTGCGGCCCGCCAATTACTTGCAACCCTTAATTTTGACCCGCGAGCGACAAAAGTTTGCCGACCCGTGCTCTACGCCTATCGTCCAATCGTGTCAGCAAATTCGCTGCTCAGTTGGAGATTTACTATACTTTTCGAATATTTGAGCATTGTTCTATTGTTTTACATACAGGAGCTCTCAACCCACCTGACGAATTCACAAAATGGTTTGGGAGACTTCATGTATAAACCTTTTGTCGTTTAATTTTTCTACACGAAATGTACGTACATATGTGCGTTTTCTCCGCATCTGCTTCATACGTCAATTCGTTCAATCAAAATCAATCCATATATAGTTTATTTTTAAAGGTTTCAGCGTTACGAAACACTTTCAATAGGTTGTGGTAATTGGGTTAACCTTCGAGAATTAAAATCCGGACTCAATATATTAGTGGATCTCAACATTTGCATTCAACTGTCAGCTCAAATGCTATAGTATTATGCCAAACAGTATACAAATTCTGGTGCAAGACATGTATCGTCAAAATCAGTCGACTATAAATTCACATAATGGTGAATTATTTTACAAAATCAAAGATGATTGGGTTAATATAACACGACCGCCAAAGACGTTTGAAAACATTATTACAGCGGAGCATTTTGAAAAAGGAGAAATTTTCATATAGTATATGTAATGATTATTTACATTTAGTATTGTAACTAATGTCAAGGTTTGGTCAGATCTTCGACCAGAAAAAAAGTACAACGTTGATATTCACCGAGCCTAGAACGAACTAAACATATTTCCTAATTTTTAGTTTAACCACATGTTTTGTTTTCTGCATCATGTATTTATGAATTTGACCTGCTTTTGCATGAATGGAGAATGACTTTCATTTAACTAGCGCTTATTTTCATGCGAAATGTCTTATGAAACACCACTTGCACTTTGAACCGTATAAATTTGTCACGCAACTTGATGAGAACAAAATCGTATGCAACTGCATAATAAAGTAAACTAGTTAGCGATCGGAGACCGCCGACTTATCGATCCGCGTGTAATCAAAATTCATAGACGCTCTACATCGCCGACAGGGCATTGTTACGCACACAATCGTTTGCAGCGACAAAAGTTAGCGGATCCCTCAAAACAAGAACTGCGGTTTTCATTTTTTTGCTCTGACTCAATAGCGACACCGCGTGTCCTAATTAATTAATTACTCGCTAATTTTACGACATAAATCATCCAAAATCAATAGGCTACTGGTCCGAGATATGATGAATGCACATTAATTTGGAGCAGATTCAACCTCGCTTTCGTGAAATATCGCGTAATATACGAAAATGTCTAACAGACAAACGAGAATGTCGGTCAGAGACCGAAGACTTATCGATCGAAGGCTAGGGGATTCCCCAAAACCGAAACTGCGTTTTCGATTCATCCGCTATGACTCCATAGCGACACTGTGTGTCCCGCAACTAATTAATTGAAATGATGAATGCTCATGTAAAATTTGGAGCAGATTCAACCTCGCTTTCGTGAGATATCGCGCAACATACAAAAGTGTCTAACAGACAAACAAACAGACAAATACCTATCAACATACTTATCGATCGAGATTGATCAGTAATAAAATATTGAGGACAGTTATACGTTGCTCACAAAATTCCGAGTTTGGACATAATCGCAATCTCCGCGTTATCTTTTTTATCATGGAAATGAAAGCAATACATGTACGGTTCCAAAGACAATATGACGAAAATTAGGGCCTAACCCTAACCTGGTACACACACGGCGGCGGTACTCAAAATAGACCCCTTTCTAGGACAAATTATCTCCTAAGAGGGATATATTTAATCACATTTGACAACCGTTAATATAGAATATAAATGTTAATTATGTCACCTAAACCTAATACATTGCAAATTAATTCATCTTCCATAAATTGCGTAAATAAATAATAAGAATGGGTATAATACAGCGTAGCACTAAATAGAACAATATTGTACAATCTAAAATATCGGGATTTCCTCTACGATGATTCTTGAAACCGAGTTCCATCCGGTTCTTTGTTTTCCTAAGCTGTACTCTCCCTCACAAGTGCCGATCCAGAATCCAACATCAACAGCTCCGCTTGGAATATCACTGCAGACACCAACAACTGTAAATTGATAATATATTTTTACAAGTTTTTTACCTGCTCTATAGAATACAAACTGGTTTTTCGGTACTTGTAGTAGGTACTATATGGTTCGGTACTACGTACGTAGTGTGTGTACCATGTTAGGATTAGGCCATAATTTTATTTCGATTTTCCCTATTTTAGTTCTATTACGAGTCGGGGACTGTCTGTGTTAGTCACGTAAGTATACCCCTGCCCATAGGTTTTTGTCCATTTGCACAACTTGATGTAAAATAGGCAAAAAAAATTAGTTCTTGGCGCTTTTTCTTGGCGAAATCGTTTATTGGCTTCGGAGGTTTTCGAGCGGTCAAAGCGTCGACGTCGCGAGTACTATGTCTCGCCACCTCAATCAGGGTGTAGTAAATTGGGACCTCCTGAAGTATGCGCACCAAGATGGCGCACAACCTGAACTCAACTTGTATTTTATTATTCCAAATACAGAGTTGAGATCGTTCTTCTAAATTTTGTACAGAAAAGTTATTCGGAGTTGATATTTTTATATATCCGGAATCTAATCCGGATTCTCATTTTGGTCACATCCCCTTTTTTAACAATTTTCATCTCTTTTCTAAGTGTCTTCATCATATCGATGATATATGCATCAATTTTATTTTAGTAAGTGTGGTAATAATTGACTCTTTTATAATGGTGGTTTGTAGAGTACATAAATTTATTTTGAAATGTTTGAATTTTAATGTTCCTCAAAATATCTTATGATATGTCAAATGCATAGAAAACTATTATCAATGTTATTGTATATACTCCATTTACCTGACATCGATCTATGTATATTGATAGTAGAATTATTGTCATCCACAAATATAAGGCCGTCAATCGGTTGGGGTGTTGTGCATTCTCCGCCATTAAACGTAAAATACCTAAAAACAATGACAAAATGACAGAATAACTTGAGAAAAAACCTTGAAAGATTCGATGGGAATATTAAAGCGAACAACAAAAGGAATCAGATTGCAGATTTTCGTTCAGAATTTCCATATAGCCCATTCTTTTTTTCCATTCACCTTTATTTGTAATATATATTATAATATATATATTTAACACATGTTATGGTATATGTTTGACCTGCACTTATAACGTGGTTAGCGTGTTATGATATAACAGCCTTGTCATTCTTCTGAAATAAATATGTTAATCTTTCATTATATTGTACTATAATTTGCCACACTATTGTCCAGGAGAGCGGTATCGACGCATTTAATTTGGAAAAACGAGAATCCCAACGTTTTAAAGAGCCTGCCAAATCCAAAATTTGTAATGACATACCAGCTCTGGACTATAGATTTATCAACGCAACAATATTTCAATCAAAGAGAGCATATCGATCATATTTTTATAGGATTTACTAAAGTATAAGTATAAAGCAATTTGTTCTCTGAAAGATTAGCGTATTTCTTTCAATTTCAAACCATGATTTCTGGGAAGCTGGTATGAACAATATTACCGTGACAAATAAATAACTCAATATTTTTATGTCTAGTCATCTTTCTAAAGCATGTTCATGTAATTATCTTAAAAGCGTTACCACAAGGCTTATTTTTCTTCTAAGAACATACCATCTATTGCAGCATGCCGCTCCTGCCTTGCAAAGAATTCTGGTGGACCCGTACCAGCCAACTTTTAGAGAAGTGTGAGAACGTTTCTGAAAGAGATAAATTCAGAGACAAATAAAATATTTCCACTTATATATAGTAGATTTCATTCGGGTCACATAACAATAAAATAACCTGCTCATTATTGTACAGGAAGTGCGAGTGAAGTTGCTTATAAACAGACCAGATTCTAATAAACCAGACCTTTATGGTATGATAGAACAATTTTATGCTTTATATAAGAGTTACACTTTCAAACACAACACAGAAAGATATTGACGCTTATAAATGATTAGTGAACGATTTCCTGGTTGAATGATTGCTAATTTTGATGGGCAATAGATAGTTACAACAAAAGTATTATCGCATCAAAACTAACATTATCATAATATGATTCCAAAATACTAATATGAAAATGTTTAGAGTACAAGGCCAGAATAATTTAAGATCTTAATTATATTTTTGTTTTGTTGATAAAATGACCGTAATAAGCTAAGTAAATGAAGAACAGTGATCGTTCCTGTATATTTTACCTTGTTGAATGTGCAAGTCTGAACCTGACCGACTGTCATGGCAAAGTTCAGTTTGTTCCAAGCACATTGGTGAATATTAGGAAGAAAAAATTCTTCAGACTGAAAAAAAAATTAAAGCTTACATGAATGTATGAAAAAAGTAGCTTAGTTCACGAATAACTGTAAACAACATTGTAAATACTTTCATTTTTTTTTAATTTGTTTTACTTCCTAAGTTTTGTGAATAAACTTTGATAATTTTACCTGAGTAATTCTTCTAAGTTCTTCTCTGCAATCACACAGACCTGGATCGCCCTTTGAACCCGGAATTCCGGGTACGCCATGTATTCCAGGATTCCCATCTCTTCCAGGTAAGCCATCACGACCAGGCGCGCCATGGGTAGGAGTTGCTGGTGGGCCCACTGGCGTACATGTCGTGGCCTGTCAATCAAAAACTCACCTTTTAATATGTATATAATCATTATTGTTTCGTTACAATTGATCACTGAAAAAAGCGATTCTTCATTCATTCGAATACATACACTATTGAAAGTGCCTATTTTGTTGATTATTGTTGTTTAGAGTAGACACTTCACAATGGCTCGACCAGAATCAGGTAAATTTGAATGCCTTATTCCAGCGAAGGGCGTAATCATTGAATTGCCTCTGCCCAGTGTTGATTTGAAATTTACATATAACCAAATTGTTTTCTCCGACTTTGCTTAGACATAACGTTTTATATAAAATAACATATTACATAAACCTATCCAACTATAGCCAGGTGAGACAATGATGGGATTCAGAGGATTCGCATCGGTTCATCGCGTTACATTTGGTGTTCCGAAAGTTATGTATTAGATTTAGTTAAAGCTTTTCATGTTAAAGTAACTTACGTAATGATATAACATACATAATTGTCGAGACAATCAAACCCGTCCTTGTTTTTTTGTTTGTTGACGACCACAGCAAATAGGTAATGTGTACCGCAGCTGACAATTAGCGATATATAGGTCGTTCCAAAAGGTATTGTATTTTTGTTAAGTGTCTCGTGATGATGTAGCCAACGTAGTTACATACATAAATTTTTTGAAATTATGGGACATCTCATTAGTGAGTTCGATACAAAATATCTGAAATTTTTAGTAACATCAATGCCTAAGTCTTTATACAATTTTTCCGACAACCAATATTTCAAATTGTTTCCAAGTATTCCTCATTGCTTAAATCTACATGGAATCGCTTTTCTTGTGTTTTCTTTATGAATTATTCATGTGTGAGGAAGTCTAACCTTGGGCAGACAAAACGTTACAAAACTATATTTATTTATGTTAATGTGCAGCAAGAATCTTGAAACACTTGGAATGTCCCAAATGCCTATATTTTTTAAATACATACTGTTGTTTGCTGCAATCAAATAAACAAGTTTATAAAATAACACTGAGTCATACTTTTGTATCTCCTTCTTTTTCTCCGTTTATAGCAGGCTCGTCGTTGAGCTCAATCGGGCCACCAACATCATCATACAATTTGCCTGGCTTGATAATCCCTGGCGCGCCAATGGGATCTCTGATCACTTTAGAAGTCTAAAATAAAAAGTATATTTTGTGTTTGAACAGCCGTTAAAAAGTAAATCCGTCCTTCAAGCGGTACTTCCGTAGTGTGTGTACCAGGTTAGGTTTAGGCCATAATTTTTTCCGATATTCTTTATTTTAGTTTTAATACGAGTTCGAGGACTGTCTGTTTTAACCAAGTGAATATACCCCCTGCCCATAGATTTCAGTCACTTTATATAAATTGATGTAAAGTAGGCGAACAAAATTAGTTACCCTCATATTGAAACACACACTTGTAGAGCGCCCTTCAAGCTAAATTACCTTGGTATCATCGGGAAAGATAATGTCTCCATCATAACTCCCAATAAAAGCAAAATCTCCACTTGCATCGTTTGCAACTTCAAGTTTTGCTTTCACTCCTGGCGATGCGGTGTCTTCTGTTGTGGCAACTCCCATTAGTAGAAAAAATAGGATTCCACAAAGACGACAACGGGCCATTTTAGCGAAAATATTTTGAAAGTTTCTAAAAAGATCATCGACATATTGAATTCCTTTTGTGCTATATTTTGCTTATTTGGATCGTTTGGCAAAATGTATTTTTGACATGATATTTGCGGTTTGAAATAATTATGTTTATCTCTTGGACAGTCTAACGAGTTATCACTGCTCGATAAATTGCATGCTCTGATTCGGAAATAATATTTCATTCGCAGTAACCTCTTGGTATTGAGTCTGTGTTTTTTAAACAACGCAATGTTACGAGATAAGGTGTGACGCGACACGCAATTAAAATATTGTCAGGATTTTGGATGACGTAGGACAGGGGTAAGCAACCTTTAATACAGGAAGGCCAGATGCAAACAACTGTTCAAAACTGCAGGCCGCACTTTTATTTAACAACGGCTTTCAAGTAGTTGAAAGCACAAAAATCTTGGTTATTGGTCGTATGACTTGCGTTGTTCGCTACACACAAGCTAACTGTTAAGGTATTGTAACGGGATATGCGCAGATAATTAACTGGACTTGTCTTAACTGGACTAAATTATAAAAACTCGATTTGCGAGCCGCACAATTTTCCCCTGTTGGCTGTATTTGGCCCGCGGGCCGCAGTTTGCACGCCCCTGGCGTATGGGTTCTTTTCGAATATTTATTCAGTGGTGAACATTAATACAACGCTGTTTAAAAGGTTTCCGTGTACTGCATCTGCATGTTTGATAAAAAGATTTCAAAGTTACATCTCAAACGCCATCAAAGTATAGATTCTCTTTCATGGCACAAACCTGCAAATTTTACAGACTGTTGCATATTTAAACATTTACAATTAAAATGCTGGTTATCTCCAATGAAAGCAGTGCGACATTCATCTTGAAATTTTTTTTTTTATTACTGAACACCTAAAACACTTTATGTTATAAATTTATTTCTAGTGCACCACTTTATATTTCAATACAATGCAAATTCCGACGTTTTAAATTCCATATTTATCCTTTTACAGTACTCCAGTTGTCACAAACACATATCTTGCATATCTCACTGTCATCCTGCTCTTCAAACTAGTCTTTCTCTCGTACATTTCAGAACTACTTTGTTCAGCGGAATAAACTGCCTAATTGACATTTATTTAATTACTATTGGAAATTCCAAAACTTTTACTAGGCTTTCATATGCTTTAGTATTCAAAAATCAGAAAATTATACTAGAGTTTGATAGGCATTATAATTCGAAATTACTCATTTCATGATTCAAACAGGTATGAATCATAAATTTCGGGAAAACTGAAAAAAGCACGCCCTGCTCTGACTAACATTTGCCCAATGGCTTCAAATAAAATTTGAAAGAAGTTCGAATTCCGTAATTTGCGTTGGATTTAAATGCTTCTTTCAACATGACGTAATTTGAATAACATTTCCTTGACGTACTGAACTTATGTACATCGAGTTTGGCAAGGCCGTAAATATGACGATTCAATGAATCGGGACATTCTGCTGCGTTGTAATTCAATGTCAGTAATAGAGAAACTGCCGTATTGAATTTTTATTCATTCACATTGCTCTTACGACCTTTCGACCTTGCTATTAATGCATACATATTAATATTGATGGTTATCAATAGATAGGATTGACTTAATTGCAATATTGGTGCATTTATGTAACATTGTTCGACAATAATTTTCCACATAAAGTTAATCTCCTAACCTCATTTGCACCTACGCGGGTTCATCAATGTATTCAAATAATTAGACTAAAGCAAGAAATGCCAGCTACCACCTATTAACAGTTTGTCCGTCTTTGATTTAAACAAGCTCTTTGATTGACGATGATTTCATCTAGTAATTCAGGAAATACTTGGGATCTTGACTATGACGTTTATTGGTTTGTTATTGGGTTGATTTTCACACGTTCTCGGAAATTTGTGTGTAAATTACTTTATCAACAAACTGATTTTGCGCGTGTTTATACAATAAACCCATTATTATAACCTAGGTGAAGTTGTCATTTTAAAATCCCCCATAATAATAACTCCATAGATCTTCAAACTGCAATTACAATACGTATGGGTAGTGAACTATGACAAGCGTTAAAATCTAGACTGTGACGTTTATTGAGTAGACTTTCCCACATTTCATGAAGATTTGAAATTGTATGACCAAATTATTTTATCGATAAAATGACTTTCCGGGTATTTAATCAGTACTTGCAAAAACAATCTAGGTGAAGTGGACATTCTCACTAATAACATGTTTACTCACTTACCTCACTAATAATATTGTTTCATAAATCATCATAAAAGAGATCATTTACTTGCAATCGCAATATATATGGTCAGTAAACGATGACAAGCACTGTGACCTTGTCATAATACTACAGATTTGCGTCTCCAAATGATTGTAAAATAAGTTGATATATTCGAATAAAAATGCGGGCTGCCTTGATGAAACAAAATATAGCACCCAAAACCGTCTAATGAAAGAATTGAACCTCATATATATCCGTGCAACAGTTTATTGAATTTATGTAGATATGCATGTAAATACAATTCAGCAGAGGTGCAAACTACAAAATTTGTTGTTCATAAAGCATAAGTCAATCAAATGTTGAGAGAACTTTGGTATAAGCAAAAATACACATACTTTGCTGCTACTTGAATATAAATGCATTTATAGAAAACGCGTTTGATGTCCAGGACCACACCACGTCTTTACTGATCTCAGAAGTTAAGCAACGTCGACTTTGGTTAGTGCTTGCTTACAAATATATACATAAAATTTGTTTTCTAGAATATCGCCACATGGTGAGGCGTTAGAATTGGTTTAAGATCCTTCTTCACAATGCAAAATAGATAAAATGTTAGTAATTTTAGGATAAAAAAAGCAGTGGATAATATATTTGGCTATATATTTCATACACGTTTTGAGTAATACTAATAGTTACAGTTATACTACAGTTATAGAAATGATTGGGAAAATTGAAATTAGGATAAAGGTTTGTTTTCCTGGTTTTATTTAACTCGAAATAAGACTTGAGTTGAATGAAGTTAAATTTCTTGAGATTATCATGTGACTGACACATATACAAATGAACTCATTGTCTAATGATCTGCATAGATATTTGCATTATTGGCTAAACCAGGGTTTCCCAAACTGGGGACCGCGGAACACTAGGGGTCCGTGATGACCTCACGGGGGGTCCGCAATGATATGAATAGAATATCCATTGATGTAAGAAAAGTCAATTAAAATTTAATTGCTTTTTGCAACGACCTACATTTGTGAGGCAGCATTTTTAGCTCTTTTACCAATATGATGACAATATACTGGTCGAGACTTGCCGTAAAGTCTGATCTACGAGTTGGCTCGTCACAAATTTCTCCGAGAATCGATAAATTGTGCAGTGAAACGTGGCCAAAAAAGTTTGAGAGACCCTGGGATAAACTATATTGTATATGATTACTACTAGTTGTGCATGTTTCGCTAACAAAATTCACGTTAGGTGCAACTGGATAAGCAATACATTTTTGCAACTTGATTTTCAAAATACAAAAATTGAAGAAAACAGGAATCATAATTCAGAACACGTTATAAAATTACTACCCAATACTGATATAACGAAATCTGGTGCTCCAAAAGTGTGCGCACCAAAATGTCGTACAACCTGAATTCTAATTGGTACACACATACTATGTTCAGGTTGTGCGCCATCTTGGTGCGCATACTTCTGGAGGTCCGAAATCTTAATATGTCCACAAAAAATCGATATGTGTGAATGCAGTGGTATTTTCTTCTTAAAGTCCCTCATGTATGAAGGGGTCTTTATCGATAGTGGGAAATATCCTTCTTAAACCCAAGGATGTATCCCTGATATCTGCTTCTCTACGTTTTCGTGAAGCTGAAATAAACAAATTGGATGATTGTCAACATAAAAAATAAAGAAATATAAAAATAGTCACGATTCAATAGTGTAGTGAAGGGGTGTGCAACCTTTATCACAGGAGGGCCAGATAAAAGTAACTGGGTGAAAACGCGGGCCGCATATTCAGTTAAGATGGCATTACCAGTAGTTGCGGAACAAAATTTTTTCCTTTTGTTATTAATCTCAAGCATTGTTAGGGGTCCTTGCAGAAATGGTGAGTTAGAACGCAAAATATTTCTGAAAAACACTTCTATTCAAATTCATTGTCACACCGAGTTCAAACGAATTCAGCAAAAAACGTGTTTTTATAACATTGTGTATTTTGCAACATGTTTTTGTTAGCTGGTTTAAATAATATGGTACTGATATAGACTTTGGGCCGCAAAGACATTGGAATTCCTTGCACGTACCAGATTAACTAAACTAAAAACCTGTTCCGCGGGCACACCTTCCAAAATTGGCACTTCTCCTCGGGCCACACAATTTTTCATTGCGGGCCGCATTTGGCCCGCGGGCCGCAGTTTGCACACCCCTGGGGTAGTGCAGTGGTTTTCAACCGATCCTAGAGTCTTAGGGTCCAATTCTGGGGTTCCGCAGACACGGTCTCGGGGTTCCGATAGTAACCATTCGATTATTAATATATGTATATTGCTTGATTATAATCGAATACCTATCACGTTTGTCACTACAAGCAAACTTATCATATATTTTTGAAAATCATTTTGTTTTAGCAGTATTAGGTTTTACTTCTATGTATATTTATATTTTATGATATTCCATGTATCCATATCATAACAAATTGCATAAGAATTCCGCGAACCTCTGGGATGTATCGTGGAAGTTCTGCTCAAGCGAAAAAGTTGAAAATCACTGGTGTAGTGTAATCAATCAGATTTTTATTTCTGTATTTAAAGCATTTGACCCAAAATAATCTCAGTCCAGTGGCACAATGACACAAGTTGACAGTGCAGGCCAAACATCGAATTTTTAAAATCTTAATTTTTCGGCACTTCGGAAGTATTTGTACCAAGATGACGCACAACCTGAACAACCCTGACCTGGTACACATACCATGCTCAGGTTGTGCGCCATCTTGGTACGAATACTTTGGGAGCACCAATTTTTCAACCCTTTTTATGATTGTATTGCATGACTCTAAAGCAGAGCCCAAGTTATTTGATTATTTTCTATTCTATACCAATAGAGAAAATACCTTTTGCGTAAAGCGTCCTAGATTACTGTCACCTTTGGGTAAAATTACAAATAAACAGAAGTTCGAGTGATTAAGTATAGATTTTCTTCGTTTCCGTGGAGGTTCAATTAGGGAATTTACGGGTACTATTTTTGAGGTCATCTTGCAGATATCCATAAAATGCACAACAGGTGCAAGTTATAAGCAACATACCATCAGCATTTCTTTTCTTTGTCAAACCGCAAAATTCCCATTTTGTGTTGGGATCAGTTGTGAAACACCAAGGACCTTTCCATCTATTGTTTGGATTTCTGCAATAATTCTCTACAAGATTGTGTTCCACGTGATTCTCCGGGTTGCTATAACGAATTTTAAAATATTTTAATTTTACCGAGATCTTAATAGTCAATAAACAAGAAAATTTATTCAGACGATGTAAATAGAAAATATGCGAATTTTTGAAATTATCGAATGTATTCTGTTATTAAATAATTCAGTAAATTGTAAGTAATCCGTTCATATCATTAGATTATTTTTTTATATATCTTCTCAAAATATGTACTTTGGTTTGAATCAAAACAAAACGTAGGACACCGTACACGTCAGACGGTTTTGCATTTTAGATATCACAGTTGGAAAATCATTTAAAGTTGATTGTGTATAGTGGTGGTTTCAATCTTTCTGATTTGCGCGTAAAACACAACTGTTTGCATTCGTTAAAATAATATTTTTTGTAAAATTGAAAGATGCATGTTGTACCATTTTTGAATATAACAATTCCTCCCTCCATTTAATTGGATGAAAGAAAATATATAAATGATCTGTGATTTTTCTATTCTTCATCAATGCTTCGGTAATATTCGTTGTTTATGACGCTGGTAGTACAGATCAAGTTCGTTTCAAAATTTTTTATTTTTTTATTTTTTTATAAGCTTCCGCAGTGTTCAACAAATCTAAGCTATTATTTCGTTTGGATTGATTCTGAAAAGTATTATATTCATGCGCATAGTTATTTATGTTATATGTTTGCTTACAAATCATGTGTGTGTGGTGTCTGACTGTCCCATCTTTGACATTTTATACCAGATTCTGTGACACTTTTGTATCCACGATACGATACTCCCCTGTCAGTGTAGAAGTCCTCGCCTGAATCAGCAAAAGTAAGTGCTTCGTTAAATAGAATGATAATGAAGACGAGTGGCCGACTAGAAATGCTACATTATGGGGAAACGGATGATCAAATAGAAAATCCTAAATTATTACAATTATTATACTAATGTAAAAAAGGATATATTCTGTCGCAATTTCTTGGACATTAGATAGAGAGTCTATCTCTAACTGAGTATTTCTTACTTGAATACATCTGATAAAATTTAAATGTCTCACAACCAATGCTTCATATATATTTTATCAGTTAAAGTTAAATTTACCTCTTTTAATTTCGAATCGTTGAATATCATATAACTCTTTATTTTACTCGAAACTATAGAGAGACAGTAAAATGCCAACCAAATAAATGTATAGTGATGTATTGCAAATCCCAACTGTCTTGGAGTAAAGTGCGTGAACATATAGTTGCTTGTTAGCTTACGCAAGAAAAAATCTTATTCGAAAAGATTTCAAAATATGGTTGTGTTCAGCACAGCTCACTTACCAACTAAGATCGAAGCTTTTTGAGCTCGGTTTGTGAACTGGTTATTTCTTGTGCTGAAATAATAAAAATTCCCAATCGATTCTACAGTTTGTGGACCCAAGTCGAAATAGGCTTCTCTATCGTCCAATGTACCGCCATCACCTGAATAAACAAACGTGTAAAGATTGAGATTCACATTATGACCAAGATGCCAGTTTGTAGAACTTTGTTCGTGGCTCAGTGCTTAACATGTTGAACTTGACTATGATGGCATCACAGTTGGAATTGAAAATATTCCAGTCCGTCCAAACTATAGTAGTTTCTTGACCAGCAGTGGCTGATTGGGCAGAGTCTTGTTCGGAGAGAAATGCGCATAAATAATTTGTAATTTTCAGAGATTGGTATCTGATGACCCTTGTTTTTGAATATTATATTTTAATACCTATCGATCTCGATCGGTAAGTATGAGGATAGGTATTTGTCTGTTTGTCCGTTAGACTTTTCGTATGTTACGCGATATATCACGAAAGCGAGGTTGAATCTGCTCCAATTTCGCATGTGTATTCAACATATCTCGAACCTGAAGCCTATTGATTTTGGATGAATTATGTCGTATAATTAGCGAGGTATTAATCAATTAGTGATTATACACGCGGTGTCGCTATTGAGTAAGAGCGAAGGAATCGAAACCGCAGATTGATAAGTTGGCGGTCTCTGATCGCTATCTCTTCATTGCAGTCATTGCAGGTAATTTGACGGAAATCTGAAAATCTGAATCGACTTTTCATTGATATTTTGATATCATTAAATAAACCTCCGTAATATAAGGATACTCCAGAATTCTTATAAGAAATTTTGTAATTACATTACACAGGTAAACGCACTTACTTTTGCATTTTAAAAAGGCTAAATCATCAACATGATGTCGTGAAAACCCAAGAAATTCAGATTCAAAAGCTGGGTAGTTTGTCTTCAATGTGTTGTTGGTCAAATCGTCACCCTTTGGAAAAGTCTGAAAAAATATTTGTATTGTTAATTTCCATGAATTAAAAGTAATGGAATTAAACTATACCATGAAAAGAAATGACGTCCGATTTATAAAATCTAGAGACGCTTGGATGATTAATTTTCATGGATTAAAAAGGATAAAATTGCACTGTAGAATGGGAAGCAATTGGGAAAATTTACAAAATCTAAAGATTTATGTCTTTTATGGTTTGTACAGTAATACGGGAGGGAATTGTACCTTATCTATTAGTATCGATTGTTGGCTTGTGTCATCGCTTATTTATTTAGATAGGTCTTGGCATTACATGTTTCCTGGTGCCAACCAAACCTATTTGGCAAAAGGTAGCATTGCTTGCAGCTTTCTGGGCGCCCTCTGTTGCCACTGCAAGTTGAATTCCATGGGTGCAAACTTGAAAGCTTTTGGTACTTTTAAAATAAAGTAGTTATTCATGTACCAAAGGCTGCTTGTGTATAACCCTGTTCAAGGTAGTGGCATTAAACGGCCAAGTTTTCCGCCAACGTTTGCATTTGATAAATGTTGTACTAAATGGGCATTATTTTTTGCCACAGTATACAGTATAAACAGTAGACAGTATAAATGGACCCTATAGTTTGCTTTAACGTAACGCTTGGCTAATATTTTTATTGCCAACATTTATTTTTTGTTGTTGTTGCATCCATAAAACTAACGGATTTTTACCCTTTGAGCCAGTTGCGCAATATTGCTCCTGTCAGTCTGTGCTTCTCCATTCCCTGCGTTATTTGCAGGATTGCTATCTGATCCAGTCCACTGGAAATGCACCAAATCTCCTTTCGTTATTTTGAGCACGTTAGGCACGAAATCGTATTCCGTCGCGGGGAATACCTTGATACATGGAAAAAATATGTTATTTACAATCGGGTGGGAATTGAAAGAATGCCCGTCCAATTTTACAATTTAATAATAAGGCTCATATGAGATTAGTTTATGTTTTCCTACAAATTTATCTTTTGGACACGCTTGTCACAGTAAGTTAAAAGTTGTTCATTTTGAGTAATATTGAACGTTTTTCAAACCCAATAGTTATTTACGCCCCAGGTAACTAGCTAAACATTACATACTCGAGAACTGACTTATGCACAGATACTAAACAATAAGTTCGTGCACTGTGGTCTAACTCTTCACGGGCAACTGAACACAAAGATTACGCCCCTCGTGACAATATGAACCCAATACTTAAAAACCTGAAACTTCAAACCGTATTAAAACCTTTGCCACATATTGTAAAATTCATAAAACATTGTGCAAAGCTTAACGACTCGGCAAAGTAGCGCATCGTGCTAAGCGTTAAGAATACGCTCACCACCGCATCTCAGATTACCCTGCGTGTGTTCACAAGTTCGAATGCACGCGGGGATAATTATATGCGAGAGAATTGCTGAACTCCACGTCGCTTTAGGGTGGCTCACTTACTCGCTGGGGGGTTACGCCTTCCGCCAAGTCCATGCTTTCGAAACAAATAAATGACCAACTAATCCCATACCCGACTTGAACCGGTAACCGTGATTCGCCATATGATTAAGCCTTCGATCCTTCAAATATGCAAAATCGGGTACTACTGTAGTATGTGAACCAAGATGGCGGACACCGAAACGTAGTATGTGTATCAGGCTAGGGTTAGGCTATAATTTTATTCCATTTCTCTTTATTTCACTTCTATTACGAGTTCGGGGACTAGCCGTGACTCCCGTAGTATTTGTACCTGAAAATAGGGCCGAACCCTAACACATACTACGTTCTGGTGTCCGCCATCTAAGTTCATATACTGCAGGAGTGTACCTAAAATCGGTATTGGGCTAACCTGTTGTAGATTTCCACGTTTGCCACGAACATTGAGATTGTGAATAGTTTCTCCGACGTAATCTATTGGACGATGATGAACATAAAAGACGTGCGACCTGTTAATAAATATGTATGACAAATTAGGAATTTTTTAGGAATAAAAAATATGCGATTGATTTTCTTTGCAAATTTTGACTAAAACATCGTTCATGCCTATTGGGGCAAAAGTTACGAATATTGAGAGAGAAATGTTCAAACAAGACTGGAAATCTTTTTATGAAGAAGTGGAAATTTTTATATAAATATTTGTTATTCACAATTTGTTGCTGATGTAGTTTAATGCAGATGTCGTTGTATTGTAAGGGCTGTCAATGAAATGTCAATATTGCAGTATTGCATTGAAAGTACGATTCGGTAATACTTTGGAATAGTTTTGAGGTACTCCCGAAGTATGTGAACCAGGTCAGGAATAGGCAATACTTTCAGGTACAAATACTACGGGAGTCACTTGGCTAGTCCCCGAACTCGTAATAGAACTGAAATAAGAAAAATTGAATAAAATTATGGCCTAACCCTAACCTGGTACACATACTACCTACGTTCCGGTGTCCGCCATCTTGGTTCACATACTTCGGGAGTACCATTTTTGAATTATCAAATAGGAGTCGAATCATCAAATGTTATAAATATTTGAATCGATAGTAGAAAATTCATGACAATTGAAATTAGTCATTTTATTCCGATTGAATGTTTGAGCCAGACTAAAAATTATTTAAGGAATTTAGTAGCGTTTGGTGCGAAATATCATTCGGAAAAGTGAAAAACACTTCTTTCTAACAACTGATGTTTGATATCATCACAAAGTTTTCATCCACGGCTATACCTGTCTTGGAATGTTCTTCCGAATTGCGCTACATTCACAGCAATTTGGAGTTGAAACTTTTTCTCTCGTTTGTAAGTTGCGAAAACGTCAAGCTTTGGATCATTTTGGTACACATAGCCTCGCTTTCTGGCCTCACGTTCGGAAAACCCTGATGAGTGAACATAATTGTATAGGCGTCTTTAGAGTCTTAAATTTTTTATAATTGCAAAGGGAATTTATCAATACCATGTATTGTTTTGGCCCTCACAGATGTATTAAATGAAGTAAAAATACCTAAACAATTACTGATTAAAAAACAACAAACCTGGGTAAGATATATTGAGAACTGACTTCATAACAAAATTGAAATTGTAAGAGGATCTTATGGACACCCGTATAATTTGTTAGCTGAGTTATACAACGACCTTAAAGTTTAAACTCTAATTATTGAATTCTAGTCATAACCCAACAGCTTCAGGTAAAACAAACAAATATATTTGATTGAGAATTGTAGAGAATAAAAGACTAAAAATTCGATTTAGTATATAAAATATTCATGCTTATATCGTATTATGATTTTTTATTTAGTTAAGTGGATTTATTTAGATAAGTGGATATAACTAATTCTCTCTCTTTTAATTGAGGACCGAATTTACTTTTTTCAAACCTTACTTTACTATAGGGTGGTGGCTAGAAAAACAGAAAATTTGTCAAAGAGCTATTTCTTTTTACAAAGAATAACTTTACAAAGTTTCTTGAAGGTATATATATTATGTACACTCATATATGCTCAAAATGTCGTCTGTGCACTTCATAGCAGTGTCTTAACCTAGAACTCCAAGCCTTTGTAGAGTTTTAATAGTCAACTTATGGGATATCGTTTGGAGCTATTCGCAAGCTCGTTTTCAAATTATCACCTAAAATAAACAACTTATTGACAAAATTTCTGTTTTTCTAGAGACCACCCTGTATTATTATTAATATTATTTTACCATATTCTGAATATATGCTTTGAAGAGCCAACGTATTATCGTTATGTTCTCCAAAAGTATTCCATGAGTCGAAGTCGTTTGTTGATATATTGTATCTGAGAATACAAACAAATTGAATGACGTAATAATGAAGCAGTTGGTGAAATTAATTTAAATCAGTGAAAATTAAAACCCTGTGGCTCCTATTGGTTTGGTAAGATTTCAGTTTTAATATAGTAGCGCCAGTAGTAAAATATCTTAAATTTGAAACAATAAAAGTCTGTACAAAAACTTCAGAATGTACAGTCTTATTATCTGTAGATATACGTACTAGTTGGTTGTTGATAAATACTCAATTTTTTCAGCTGCTCCATTCGTTTTTCAAAATTATCGTATATTGTCAAAAATTAACTGTATACCCGAGCTATCAACGTTTATTGAAAATCAAGTACAAATACAAATCAAGACAAGTCAAAAATTTTTTTCCGCAATGGCGAACTCGCTAAATACAATGAAGAAAATAGTGACAACGTGCTTTGAGATACTACACTACATATTAATTAATTTGGCTGGAGTTTATAATAAATTTATTTTTAATTATGTTTGTAAAGCTAAATAAATTCCACCTTATTCTGAGGACACATTTCTCTTCGTATTGTGCCAGATCTGGAATTGTCCAATCATATTTCGCAAAATAACCTCCGACTGTGTTGCCTTGGTGATTGTCACGTGACCATATACTTTTGTAGCATTCAGGTTTACCGATACCATGCGACGGAACCCACTTCCATTCTCCACGATACTGTGGTATTTAAAGCAGAGTGAGTCATAATTTTCTCGCTCCCGGATATTAAATGTATAATTACTTAACATACATGCATGAAATATGGAATTAAAAATTATCCAAATTTGCATAGATAATTGTTTCATTTAAGACATTACGACAAAATTGTTCAAAAAGATATCCCAACAAAATAGACATATGATATAAACACTTCAATGCGGTTAGATTGTTGACTAGATCACCTAAGTGGATTATCTTGTATGTATTATTGAGAACAGAACATTAACACTTTTCTAATTCATTTAATTATAGTTAATTCATGATACAACCACAGACAATTTTGATCAAAAAATGTTCAAGTTTTCCCAATCTCAAATTTTGGTGAATAGCTCTCAGCCTCACGGTGTTTTTTGTCACCTGAATTCAGAAGTTCATTTGAAGCAACTGAATATTATGCCCATTTGCTGCAATGTTTATTTGTACTGTTATAAATTTTATCATTTTCACCACATTGAACTTACCGTCACGTTGTCAACGGTGTCAGTGGACGCTTCACACTTTTCTTTGTCTCCAAATAATACGATTTTCATTCTTTTTCGCTACAGTAAAATTAATATTTTTGAAGAGTTCTATTTTATAACTTCAATGCAATGTTTTATGATAGGAGTGTAATGACGTCATCAAAAGGATTACGGCATACGTATCCGTAAGTATCAGTATCGAACAAAAAAATATTATTCATACATTTTGAGGCACTATGATTTCTATCGCGCAGAAGAAAAAAAGAACATATACTTTAGTCAAAAACGGCTTCGTTACTTTAGTCCAATATATTTATCGGATTTTTCAAATGTCAATGTTCAAATATCGCAGATAGTTGTCAATCCGAGGTAGTTAATAAATCTCTATTTCACAAAGATTATTACATTTTTCTTAGCCTTTTAAATTGCATATTTCTACCAAAACCTATTTATTCAATGCATTCAATAATGAGCCAAGGTTATTAAGATTTACATACAATACAAAATTTATTAGAAAATGTCAGAAATTCTCCTCACCACTTGCCAGTATTCTTCAGGGAAATCGCACTCGTATCTTCCTTTTTCATTTTGACTTTCCTCTTTATATTTTTCACATCTGGTAGGATCATTAGTGAATACAACTATGTCCTGTGTGCAAAAATGGAAGTAACATTTTTCATCTCAAATTAAATATTAAAATATATATCAAAAATATTTTCGATATATATATATATATATAATATTTTTATTTTTAATAATTATATTTTTCATTTGGGAATAACTCTTGTTAGCGACACTATATCGCAAGCCCAAAATCACAAAAATGAGGATGCTGCAAGTTCTAATTTATTTACTGTTAGTGTACCACTGGACGACAAGTTAATTGCAAATAACAGTTTTATCCAATAACTTCATTTAAGCGAAATCCATTGCCTCATAGTGGGTTTTGGAACGATTTAATTTGAATTGCTTGAATTCTCGCGTTGATCAGTATTTGCTAACGCTTCATTCACCGCCATAATCCGTTTTATACTCTTATAAGTAGATTTTGAAATTTCTGTGGTCGCCCGTAACTTTGCTCAGCGATCAGCCAGGAGTGCACAAAATCTTGTTTCGATAAATTTATTGAAAAATAAAATAAAAAATAATCCCAAACCAATAATAAATACTAAAAACTTGCCAGACAAATATCTTTCGGCTGTATATTTACCTTCCATGGACTTGCTCCCCAATAAGGATAGTAATCCCTTTCTTCTGGGCATTCTAATCCTCTTCGATCGCCATCTCTGTTTTGTCTTGTACTTCTAGCAGATATCCGGACTTGGTGGTTCTAAAGAATGGAATTTTTAAAAATTTCATTTTCAACTCTTGCGACTGTTTTATTATGAGTAAAGGTATTACTCCATGAAATTATATTTTGAAATTGCGTATGAACTATGAAAAGACACATCGCAGAGCTATGGCCACATCTGGGCTAGTGGTGCCTTAACTTTCATGATCAGTGCCCCCTTGCAAAGGATCTTGACACTTCCTCTGCTATTTTGTGCATCGCTTTTAATAATAAAATCCTATTAAACACAGTCATTTTATAATGTTGTTCACCAAGTGAAGGCTTTTTAATCGTTGCCCCGCAAGAGATGTCCCGCGTTCATCTTGTGAGGGGTTTCAAGCTGAGTGTGAGGGCTGGGTTATAGAAAACCATCCTTCGACAAAAATGATTGGGTATATCATCAAAAAAAAAATTTGTCTAACTAATTATTATTTCATAATTCTCTCCTTTATATATTTTTTAAACTTACGGCAGGGCCTTTAAAAAGTCCTTTGTTCCTTTCTCTTGCGGCGCATTTTTCGTAATATCGTAAATTTTCATGCTGACCAAATCTTTGATCGGTGTCGCAACTTGGGTTTCGACAAATCGTGTTTCCAGTTGTTCCATCTCTCAAATGATTTCCACACATATATTGAATTATGATTTCACAATTGTTGTTCTCATCTCCGCATGAATGTTGGTTGGACCTGAAAAGTGTTTTTTTTTTAGTTTGTAAAGAAAAGATGAAGGGAGGTATCATATAAGGATGTGTTTTTTGAGTGTGTGGAAATAGGTGTGCATTTTTCATGAGTGTGAAACTATGAGTATGAGTATGAGTATGAATGAATGAAATGAAATGAAATGAAAAACTATGAGTAAGAAACATGAGTATGAAACTTTTGCCTATTGATATATGTGAATAGAAATATATTTGCGTATATGTGTGTTTATATGCATGTGTTAATATGCCTGTATATTTTCTTTCGTGAGAATTTACTCACAGTGACTCACTCGCAATTAAGTTAAAAAATAGTCAAGGGAAGAAAGGACTTCAAGACAATACGAATATCTATTCGGTAGCAAATCCAACATAAATGAACTCTTTGAGAAAACCCTCATTAATATTTCTTTGTTTAGAAAATGGTACAATGATAATAAACCTACTAGAGGCACGAAACCTAGTACGAAGGCTAAATACCCTTTGGAGAGAAACGTTCCGAAAGTTCAGAAGAACACATTGTAGCATATTATCTGTTCTTGTTACAATATATATTGGAGAGCATGTGTGATTGTTTGCCAAAGCGTGGGATTGAAAATCCGTATGCATAAATCTGTGTGTTTGTACTCATTTTTGAATATAATGTGTTTGTTGGCATGTTTGTGTGAAAACATGTTTCCGTGTGTGTTTGTTTCCAGAATCAAACATGCAAAGTGAGTGTGCGTCGGAGTGCTTTTGTAAAAATATGTGTATGAGTATATAAGCGCATTGTTGCGGGTATGCAGGTTTACGTGTTTGTTCGGGTACTCCCGTAGTATGTGTACCAGGTTTGGATTAGGCCGTAATTTCATTCCGATTTTCTTCATTTTAGTTTTATTACGAGTTCGGGGACTGTCTATGTAACCAATTGAATATCCCCCTGTCCATATATTTCAGTTCCTTTGCACAACTTGATGCAAAATAGGCGAACAAAATTAGTTTTTTCAATATTGTTACACATACTTTTGTATACGTGTGCAAGTGTTAACTTGTATAAAACGTACTTACCATTGTATTTGAAGTGTCGTCCCGTTGTAATAATACATCGACTGTTCTCCTACATTGTATCCACCTCTAGCGTTGTTTTGAGAATCGAAAAGTCGTGCTTGGTTATCCGTGTCTCGTTTTGACCCCTTATGTCGATTATTGCTTCCTCTGTGAAAAATAAGAAGGATCATTCAACTGTAAACGTCTATGGCTCACTGAGTAAACAATACCAATGCTACTATTTTTATTTGAGTATTAGAAATCTTTATGTTTCGACATGTAAAATAAAATATATCTCTGCTGCATTGAAACAAATAAATATGTGTAGTTCAATCAATCAAATGATAAACATTTTAATATAGCACTAGGATAAACGATTTCGGTGCTCCCGTTGTATATGAACCAAGATGGTGGACACCGGAACGTAGTATGTTTACGAGTTCGGGGACTAGCCAAGTGACTCCCGTAGTACTCATACATGAAATTATGGCCTAACCCTAACCTGGTACACATACTACGTTCCGGTGTCCGCCATCTTGGTTCACGTACTACGGGAGTACCACGATTTCCACCACTTTATTATGAAATTCACTGCATTTTTGATACCGAAAAGGCGATTCAATTCTTAATGTACATTTCAAATACTTGCCAAAAAAGCAACCAAATTATCTTTAATATCGTTTATGTATAAGATAGATATTATCTAATTCTTCACTGAAATATTATACCTTGGGTTGTGCATGTAGATATCTGATAGACAAACTTCAAGCATGACCAATATAAGCAGAGAAAACTTCATCAGTATCGCCATTGTGTATGTGTTATGATGAACTAATAACTGTCTGTTAAGTGAACAATAATTAAATGAATCAAAATATATGAACTATTTTCATCTTCACTTTCGCTCGGAACAAGGGGTTAGATCAGCAGTCACTAATAAATTGATCATAGCTATTTTTGAGGTTGCCGAGATCTTTTTTCCGTTCGACATTGCCTAATGAAGTTTTTATTTTCAATTTTTATTCCATTGTAGCCAATTTTATTGTCAAAATAAATTTTAGGACCATGAAGCCTATAGTAGAAATTGCGAAAAAAATATTATTGATTTCAATAAAAACAATACAATGTCAATCACTAACTAATCCTTGTGCCTATTTATCAGTTTTTCGAATTGATATCAATTTGTAATTGATGACGTCTCGTTGGGGCTTACTGCACATGCGGGATCATGTTGGAAAACTTTTAATCGATACTATAACACTCCGGAAGTGAGAGTTGGCACGGAACTTTCTCCTGTGATGGCGATATAGATGTAGGTTACTGACGACTGGATACTATCGTGTCTGTAATAAACTACTGTTACGAACTCAAACTTTTGCCAACAAAACTTACAGTAAATGCGGGAGAAATAAACCTGTAACATGCTATTTCCGGTACCATAAAAGTTAGTTGACTCTCCTGCTTTTAAACTAATGAACTTGATATTTGCAAAAAAATTAGCCGCCGGCAATTTTAATTATAGAATATTAATATAATACGATGTCCATTATGTGGGATGAGTCATAAAAGCGGTGTCTTTGTTACGACACACTACAATAAATGACATCATCATTGAGAATAAGAACCTGACTTTTGTTGAGAATTAAATATACCTTTTAAGTATATTATTAAGTCTATAAGGTCTGATGGGGTGATCATAAAAATTGAATAGATGGAAAAAATTAAATTTCTCATTCCAGCACACTTACAAAAGATTTCGATTTCAGTTTATTAAGACAATTTGTTGTTACAATCACTTTTATTTTCTGTTCCATTGCGACCCTTTTACGACCTTGTATTTATATTATTTAATTGTAAAAATCAACTTTATACCATTATTCAACAGTCTGCGATTTGAAAAAATTAAAATTAGTATATGTAAGTTGCACAAACTTTTATTTATTGAAGGCACATTAATATCCCCCGTCTATCCATCGCTTGCACTGCCATCCTAATCCTACTATTTTCTACAATAATCTAACAAAGTGACCAAGTGAAATCAACAGTCTTACGTGCAAAAATGCTACGTCGGTAATAAATTGAGCCGACGTCGATGTCATATCGTGAAGTTCGGTGTATACTCTACCTGGTACGAAATGTGTTTTTTAAACAATATCCGGAACAGAAAATACGCAAATTCTGCAATTTTCATTTGATATCAGTGTACAAAATAAACAAACATTAATCATCTTGTAATCTGGTTTTAACAACAATGAAAAAATACCACCGAACCACATTTGGTCTAATATGAACAAAACATGGCTGACATTCTAGGCAAACACAATCTGTATAATTCTAAACTGGTCATTATAGTTTATATTAATTGCCGTTTGAAGGTTCGTCACTCAAAAATCTTATGACATTTATACTTCTTACTTTGATTTAAATAACCACTGTTAAATGTTTTTGCATTACAAATCAAAAACCTTCAAATTGTAGTAATTAACTCCTTATTTTTATACGTATATTTTGCTTAATCGTAATACTAATGTGATGATCGTCGATTGGCAATGTTAGGTCCATCAATCACAAAAAGGTTTATTTAATTTCACTCAATTTCCGATTCTCATGCTTACTTCAACAAGCTGTATAAAATTTCTTGTCTAGACGCTTATTCTTGCCTCAAAACGAAGCACTAAACAAACAGCCACTGATATCTATCAACAAAGTTCAACGTCCAAATTCCACGCCACCCCTAGAAATGTAATTCTAAAATGGTGATAATAGTTTATATGAATTGATGTTGAAAGGTACTTTGTTGCTCAAAAATTATATTGCTTCATTATTCTACATTTTTTTTTTAAATGACAGTACATAGAAATAGCTATATTTCGGGTCAATTATCTTAAAATTTCAGTAATTTACTTCTTATTTTTACACGTATATTTTGTTGACTATTTTGCTGAATTGAAATCCTAAGGTCACGATCACTGATTGATTTTGTCTATCATTCACAATAGCTTTGTTTAATACAGCTTATTGAATTTTTTCACAAAACTCATGCTGATTTCAACAATCTTTTTAAAATTTCTTGCATGTTCATTTAAATAAGAGTCTTTTTTATGCCTCTCGCTTTTAACAATTTCATGCCCAAGAACCGACTTTTATATAACGATAACGACATTGCCTCCAATTATTTATTCCATTCAAAAATTAACGTTACCATTGAATATGATAAAAATGGAAATTAAAAAAATCAGTGCATTTCATTCATACTAACTCACTAGTTTATCTTAAAAAAGGTGAAGCATTCGAGTATACAGCGTATATAAATTCATAATGTTGATTGAACTATTTATTTCGGCGCTGCAGAAGTGTGTGTACCAATATGGACGTAACTAATTTTGTTCGCCTACTTCACATCAAGTTGTGTAAACTGACTGAAACCTATGGGCAGGATGTATATTTACTTTTCCCTATAGCCTATCATATCAATTTTGATACGGTTCATCGCAACGCTGTCCTGTTATTACTACAAACTATTTGACAGATATATGTCACCCAATTTCGTGTTATGTTATTTTTACCTAAAATAATCTAATTCTAATTCTAATTTTCTACTTCGTAAATGTAGCAAACTATTTTGACTGATCCAAAATCACCGCATATCTGAATTGTCGGAAACGACATCTTATATATCATATTATGACATCATAGCTAGGTCACATTTCTCAATACCCCTGTTGCAAAGTTGGTCGGGCATAAATTAAAGTCATTTGACAATTTTTGAAATAAAGAAAACTTTTAATAGTGTACTTCTTTATAATTAGTCCAAAATTTCAAATTTATACACAAGCATCTCAACCCCAAGCATGGGACGGAGATATTCAGACAAGATGACGTAATATGACTTGAAATTATAAATTTATTTTTAGAACCATCAAAGAGTTCTAAACCTGAAACCCCGTAAAATCAATCATAATTCGGTCATTAATAAATTGTAATTCGACCGCTGACCGACCATCAACATTTATACTGATACATTACCTCAATTTTAACATAAGGTCACTCGCATATCATAGTTTCGGGTTTACTTTTACTTTAAAACTAAGAACTACGTGAACATTACCCTAAATCGTATGATATTTTCCGCTAACGTTATAAAAATGCGCAGTGTGCTAGATTTTTGTGGAAAATAGTTCAACGAAATACCGACCACGCATAAAAGAACACTATAATTATATTCGAATTTGTCTCATTTATAAGAAGAGTGAGAAATCACGGTGCATATTACTATGGTAAACTGCTTGTCTGAGGAAATCTGACTTTGGTCAGACGAAACGTAGCAGAAATAAACTTGTGTTAGTGTGCAGCAAGACTTTTGAACTGCATAGTAACATATTACTACATTAGGTTTGCTAGCCTAACAGTTCGATGGCAGCGGTTAAAGTATTAGACTCGACTGTTTTGACGTCGTAGGTTAAAATTTTGAGCTTAAATTTCACGCCTTCACACGCGGTGCAATAAACATTTGTAAGGCTATGCCGAGCCGGGAAGATTCCATTTTTTCCAAAAATACTTGGTCCATTTCACATCGTTAGATATCGGTGCCTAATCTTTATTCAAAGCGGAAAACGCGTCGAATAATAAAAAAATAATCTGAACTAATCTAGTAAAGCAATTTACGAATAAATTCATATGAAAATTTCTGCTTTATATTTCTACTATCCAAATCCTATATACTTTCAATCGAATATACCGGGTATATTGTTCCGTACTGTCCCGTGCAGATGAGAGCACTATTGCCTTCTACGTAGAAACGTATTAAACGAGCAAATTTTGTAAATATTCTTTATTTTGGGACACTTAATACGGACCTATTTTTCTATAAAGATGCAGTCTTTACGTAACTCTATACAATTGCAACCCCCATTTTATAGGGCAATGTTTAACCTACCTATTAGAAATAAACGGTTCATAGGATTCCCACAAATAAATTCGAGAAGTCTAGGGCACTTTATTGCCTCATAGTCACGCTATTTCGCGACCCCAAATCTATCTTTGGAAAAATTTAAGCTCGTGCTCTGTGAGGTATTTGATGAAACGTCGAGGGCCGTATTTACAAAATAAAGAAGGCTAAATGGTCCTAAGCATCGTCCCAATCGGCCACAGTAGGCAGGAGATCTAACATTGTTTAATCTGGTAATATTCGACGGATACGCGTTTTTACCTGTGACCACTTTATTAGCGACAAAGCGTAAAGTTGTCATTTTGACGCTGAAATTTGATCTCATTCACTTCTATTTACCAGGTGCAATGGTCGCAAAACATTACGGTTGGCATGACTTTGGTATAACTTTTAAATAACTATTTTTGTGCGTTTTAAACAATCCTGAGTTTATAGAAATAATAGGGATGATATGACTTTGATATTTCTATGAAGTTTGATATATTTCATTTTTTTTAAATAAAAAAAAAGTTTTAGCGACATAATAATATGCCTTATTTATTTAAGTTTACATTGTCTTTTATTTATCTATAATTTGGTAAGAACAAACGTCTGGAAATTTGATGCCAATTTTCCTTCTATAGTTCAAGCATCTCGCTACAATGCATTTACATCCGGTAATTTGTATCGATATTATTCAAGCACATCGCCAATTACTTTTCACGCACTGTAAAAAAATTCAGTAAATCAACTTTGGAAAAAAGGAAATTACAGATCATGTCAGGTCAGCATATGTTACTGACCAATTGCTAACTTTTGACTTGCTTGTAATATCGCTTATTCAAAGAATATCGCCAATCATTTTTACCAGATAAAAGCAAGGAGATTAATTATTCGACAATTAGCGGCAAAATGCTATTCAAACCTCAATACTTTAAAC